CTGGGGCATTCGGGACAAGGCATCCACCAGGATTTTTTCCCCCTGGGCAGGTAGTGGAGGGTGAAGTTGAACTGGTTAAAATATTGAGCCCACCTGGCTTGTTTGGGTTATAGTTTTCTAGGAGCTTTAAGTGCTTCCAAGTTCTTGTGTCAGTCCAGACCTCAAAAAGGACTCTGTTGCCCTCTAGGAATTGCCTCCAGGTGAGGAGGGCCCAATGGACTGCCTATGTTTCTTTCTCCCAGACAGCCCAATGTCTTTCTGCTTTGGAGAATTTGCACGAAGAGTAGGCACAAGGTTTATTTATTTACTTACTTACTTACTTACTTACTTACTTACTTACTTACTTACTTATTTATTTATTTATTTATTTATTTATTTATTTATTAGATTTCTATACTGCCCTTCTCCTTTCGGACTCAGGACGGTGAACAGCCAAAATAAAACATTTGTACACAAAAGTTAAAATAGATTTAAAATAATTAAATAAAGTTTGGCCCATAATTTAAAACATTTCAATTAAAATCAATATCAAATTTTAAAAACCAACCATAAAATCAGGACAGCCCAGCTAACTGAAAAAAATAGGTTTTAAGGGCCCGACGAAAGGTCCGGAGGTCTGGGATCACTCGTATCTCTGGGGGTAGATTGTTCCAGAGGATAGGTGCCACCACAGAGAAGGCTCTCCCCCTGGGGGTCGCCAGCCGGCATTGTCTGGCCGACGGCACCCTGAAGAGGCCCTCTGTGGGAGTGAACTGGCCGGTGGGAGGCAATTGGTGGCAGAAGGCGGTCCCGTAAATACCCCGGCCCTAAGCCATGGAGCGCTTTAAAGGTGATCACCAACACCTTGAAGTGCACCCGGAAGTCCACCAGAAGCCAATGCAGCTCGCACAGGAGAGGAGTCACATGGGAGCGCCCCGTCGCTCCCATAATCCCCCATGCGGCTGCATTCTGCACCAGTTGGAGCCTCCGGGTGCACCCCATGTAGAGAGCGTTACAATAGTCCAGACGAGAAGTGACGAGTGCTTGAGTGACCGTGCGTAGGGAGTCCCGATCCAGAAAGGGGCGCAACTGGCGTATCAGGCGGACCTGATAGAAAGCCCCCCTGGCCACGGCCGTCATATGCTCTTCTAAAGACAGCCGTGCGTCCAGGAGGACACTCAAGTTGCGGCCCCTTTCCGTGGGGGCCATTGATTCGCCCCCAATAACCAGCGATGGCGCCAGCTGGCTATACCAGGACGCCAGCAGCTCCCCCTCCAAATTCTTTTGAAGGAGTACTATCCCCATTGCCATATCACTAGCATCTGCCTTAATTGGAAATGGCTTAACTGGGTCAGGGTGCTTCAGCACTGGCTTGGCTGCAAAAAGGCATTTTAATTCCTTGAAAATGGTTTGGCATTCCATTGTGCATTTCAGCAGTTGGCTTGGCTTAGATTTAGTATTTCCTTTGGCCTTTAACAAATTGGTGATTGGAACCGGTTGACGTCACCGTGAGATCGGACATGAGAAGCGGGTCTCCACGCTCCTGTGGCGAATCCTCCCTGTTGGTGGCTCCAAAAGCAGCCAAAGCCTCCCTTTAGGGGAGGCGAAGCAAAGAGGGGTGCCCTGCATGATCGCGGAGAGTCGCAACTCTCCAGCCTGACCCGGGGGTTTTCTTTCCCTCTCAGCCACGATGAGGAGAAGAGGCAGTCTAAACATGGCTGCCACAAAGCTGGGGCAGCTGAGGAACACTTAAGCCTGGTGCTGGAGTGGAGTTAGTGAGCAGTGATTGGAGCTGGGTGAGAAGATCCCCCCTTTTTTGCATTTAGTCCCTAAACTTAAAGAGAAGAATAAGAAAATCCAGAGAAGAAAAGAGACTCTTAGAATTACCTTTTATAAAGTGGCAAATAAGATAGAGAGAAAAATCCTAGACCCAAATGAAAGGAACAGAGGGGAGAAAAGCTAAAGATCTTTTAATCAAAGAAAACTGGATTTTAAACTGGGTAGGTGTTGTTATGGAAAGGCATTATAATATGCTGGAACTATGTACCTGAATTGATTCAATTATTTAATTCTGTCTCTATAAACTGAATTAAATTTGGATTTTAATTTATCACATTTGAAACAATGCTGAAACCTCTGTTGATGCTGTCATCTACTAGTGAATGGAATATACTACACAAATCTATGAAAATTTTGACAGAAGAAATAAGCAACATTTTTTTTTTGAAGGATTGTGGTGATACTGACTGTCCTATAATTAATTACTTTACTATTGTGATAAGGAAGGCTTTTAAGTAAAGTGACTTTTGTTGTGTGAAAACTGTCTAGACTATTTAAATGGAATTGATTAATAACCCTGAGATGTAAAGAGCTATGATTATTGAACTCTTTGATGAGCAAAACTGGAACTGAATATATTGTTTGTGGCCCTGACTAAAAGTGGACTTATTAAATTAAAACAAGATGCCTTTTCAGGGGAAATTAGTGAAATTTCAAGAGAAATGGCATGGATGTTTCAAAGCATCAGGGATACCATGATAAAGAACCAAAGAGAGATAAAAGACTTAATCCAAGGCATCAGTGATAAAATAGAAAATATAATAAACTGGCAATGAATGAAGATCAAAGAGTCCAGGAAAGAGGAGAAGCGGCAGAAAGAATGGAGGAAAAGATAGAACAGACAAACAACAAAATAAAACAAGTGGATGAGAAAAACTTTTTGAGAGATATAAAGATGGAATTAGAATTGGATAATCTGGAAGATGTTTTTGAAAGGGAGATAGGAGTATGGATGGATACTCTGGAGATATGGCAGCCTAGGAGGAGAGGAATAGGAGAAATAGTTAGATGGAATAATGATGATACAAATATTGACAGAGACAAAGATCCAAGAGTGGAGCATGGGAGAAAAGCCAAAAAACGAATAAGAATTAAAGTATTAAAACGGGCAAGGGATGATGTATAGAATAGAGCTATTTTTCCACTTTTTTCTTTCTTCTTTTTTCTAATATAATGTAATATAATATAATATATATATATTATAATCTAATCTAATATAATATAATATAATGATGGCCTGATTAAAAACTAGAAATAGAGGTAGAAATAAGAATATACACCCTTATATGAAGGACTATGCATTATCATAAATATGTGTTTTAACATTAGGATTAGTAAGAGTGACATGACTAGAAGCCAGAATACAGGTAGAAATAAGAATTAGGGGGAATATTAGTAGTTATAATTTCTATATAAACTGAAAATAAGTAATAATTAGATGGAAAGTTGACAGGTTGAAAGTTGGTATTACTATGTATGTTCAAAAAGATCATTGACATTAGAATGGAACATTGAAATATTGAATAACTAATTATCAAGTACATTAATATTAGGATTATATAAGTTTGATTAATGTAATGATTGACTGTTGTTATTTGTATTAATATGAACCATACCCAGAGGCCACACTGTTCATGTATTGATGTTGATATATGTTTAAAAATAAAAACCCAATAAACCTTTAAAAAAACAAATTGGTGATTGGCAGCGCTATTTGGGCAAATAGCACTGCCAAAGGCTGGGATCCCAGCAAAGGCTGGGATAAACTCCTGCTAAAAGTTAATGAGGCCAAGGAAGCTCTGTAACTGCCTCCATGTACGAGGGGTTTCCCACTCTAGCATGGCACACACCTTCTCTGGGTCCATTTCCACTCCCTCCTGGGAAATCTGGAACCCCAAATAGTCCAGTTTAGTCCTATGAAACTCACATTTGGAGAGTTTCACAGGAACAGAGTATACAATTGGCCCCCTCAAAGTTTCTCAAGTACTGCCCTGACTCGTAACTAGAAACTAGTCAGTACCTCCCTGTCTAGTTCCACATGCTCTGCCATTGTCTCAGTGTAGATTAAAATATCACCAAGTACACAACCCCCCTGTGTATAAATAATCATGTAGCACCTAATTCATCAAATACATGAACACTGCAGGGGCTCCCTGTAGCTCAATTGGAAGTAACCAGAATTGCAAACAGCCCTGGAGGCAGGTGAATGCTGTTTTCCATTCATCCCCCTTCTTAATCCACACTTGGTAATAAGCCTCCCTTAAGACCAATTTGGTGAAAAAAATCTCCCCTTGGCTGAATGGCCTATCGTATCCTTCATCAATGGAAGGGGATACACATCAGGACCACCTCTGATTGACTTTTGGAGTTCTGTCAAGTTTGCTAGCTGCTACCTGTTTAAAAACAAAGGGCAGCTTTGCAATTTTGAGAAAAGATATAGCTGCTTTTAAAGAGTTGCACAATGTTTGTGTGCATCTTTTTGGAGTGCACGCCAAAGCAGTACCCTGCCCTGTTAAATATCAAGGATAGCCATGAGCTTCAGGCTCATTTGCATGGGTTGCTTTAGAAAGGAATGATATTGCCCCTTTGCCTTGCTCGGATGAATGATGATTTGTAAATTGTTCAAATGCAAATGGTTTGATGTCAGTGAAGTGTAATGTCAAGCTTGTCCCAACCTGGGCACTTAGGAAAGAAAGACCCTCGACTCCATTGTTGAAGTGAAAGGTTTACTTTTACTAAGTTCAATTGGTTACAGCATAAGCAAAGCTGGATCAGAATATTCCCGCACAAAGCCTGTGTTTTTCCCACTTTCCTAGCCCCCTCCCTTTCACCAGTCCATCAGTGTTCAATCATGTTCATTTTAGAAATTTGGGGAATGGCTTTGAGGTTTGGCACTTCTTCGATGCAGTTTTGCATTCCACTCTCACAGTCCATCCTTGATCAGCCATTTCTTTCCAGATTGACTCCTCTGGTTCCTGTCATTCCCTCCCTTCCTCCCCACTGTGTTTTATGACAGGATGCCAGTGAAGAGAGGTGTGCTGAAGATGGGCAGACCTGATATGTAGTCTGATTTATTGTATGTGATAGGTATGAGGCGCTTCCAAGAAAGATTTGTATGACACTTGGTAATGAGAGGCATCAAAATTTGAGAATTGTTTCCTTTTGCTTCTTTTTCCCCACAGTATGCAGAAGATGTGTCACTTAAAATCAAGCATATCAATATAAATTTAAGCAATATAGTTTTACTGAGCAACGCTGGGAAAGAGAACCTGTTGAATTTTGGTCATTCTGGAATAAATGAAATAAGCTTTGCAGCATACCTGTCAGAGGTAAGGGGCTGACTAAACTGTTTTTCAGCTGACCGGGATGGGAGAAAGAAATGGAAAATGGTTGACCCTCTAATTCTAGACACCTGAAGATACCTAGACAATTTTAAACAGGGAGGTTTTTTTTTTCCACTTTGTTTTACTCTGATAGCTATAAGCAACTGTTATATAACAGATAGCAGTTAGAAGGTACCGTTGAGATCTTGTAATCCAACCTCCAATCCCCTGCTCAAGCAGGAGACCCTATACCATTCCAGACAAGAGGCTGTCCAGTCTCTTCTTCAAATATATACTATATCATCAACATACAAAGTACTTTGCGTCCCTGTAGACTTTGGCAGCCCTTTGAAAAAAGCCTCTGGAAAAATATATGCTGAAAATGAAGAAATAAGACAATTAATTGATGTTATTGTAAGAAATTAGGAATTAAGGGCAGATAGTGATACTGTTTATAAATTATGTATTAAGAAGGGATTAAGATAATATGTGTTAAGGAATATGCGTAGAGTAACCCTTGAGTAGCAAAGGTGTGCACATGAGAAACAGCTGAGAGTGATTGTGAATAAGCACTGTCAATACAGACACATTGAGTTGTGATATTCTTTTACTTTTAGGAAAAAGCAAAGCAAAGTCCAATAAACAATCCAGGTCATACACAGATAAAGATAGTTAATTTGTCAATCCAGGGATATTCCAAGAACAAAGTCTTCTTACCAGTTGTTGTAGTCATATGCAATAAAACAGTTCTTTTTGGAGTTGCAAACAGGAACAAGTACAGCAGTAAAACAATCAGTAAAACAGTAGAAAACAACAAGTAGCAATGATCAAGCAGTGATCATGCAGAGAGAACAGGCAGAGAGGAGCAGAGGTAGCAATAATAACATAATAAGAAACAATAAGTCATGATTCAAGCTTCCTCTTAAGTACATTGGCTACAGAGCTAGCCAATCAGAATACAGTATGATGCAATACAGCATTACAGTCTTAAAGCTATACATTACATTTTGACTGCAAACATGCATTGATGGTTTATATATATATTGCCAACCCAACCAGTTAGGCAATAGCCATTTCCTAACAAGATGTGGATGGACCATTAAGTTAAAGGGTTTCGATGTAAGAATTGAATATGACGATGTATGTTGTGTATAGTTAAAAAGTGGATTTTGAGAAATATATTCTGCAAATGGAGAAATAAGATAATTAATTGATGTTATTGTAAGAAACTAGGAATTAAAGGGCGGATAGTGATACTGTTTATGTATTATGTATTAAGAAGAGATTAAGATAAGATAAAGAAATATGGAAAAAGAATATTATGGCCGAAATTGGAAATATGTAAAATGTACTTGGGGGGAGGGGGAGAAAAAAAGAGATGAAATAACAAGATATGGTGAAAAATGATGAATTTGTGATAAAGAATTATATAAAAGGGATGAATATGGAAAAAGCAGGAAGATTGGAATAGATTATAAAAATTAATATATATAAGATGTATAAGATGTGACCTGGTCAACACTCTGTTCATAAAATATGTATGATGAAAGAAAAATTTTAATAAAACTTGTTTATAAAAAAAAAAGAAAGAAAAAAGCCTCTGTTGGCACCAGAGAAGCTGGGGTGGGGGTGGGGGTGGGGTGGAAGACTCCCTCTGAAGCTCTGTTCCTACTGGCAAAGGCTTTTTCCAAAGGGCTGCCGAAGCCTATAGGGATGCAATCCTCAAGCACTTTGGTAGCGAAAAAGGAGGCATGGAGGTGCGCGCTTTGCCCTCCGTGACTTCTTTTTCATTGCCAAAGCCTTACTCAAGCAGTTCAGCTGCGAGAAAGGAGGCCTGAAAGGGCACAGCCCTCCAAAGCCATCCTCAAGTGGTTTGGCCCAGAATGGTATGTGCGATCCTCCAGGCCTCCTTTTTTGTTGCTAAAGCCATCCTCATGCAGTTCAGCGGTGAGAAAGGAGGCCAGGAAGGCCGCATGCACTTCTCCACACCTCCTTTCTCGCTGCTGAACTGCTTGAGGAAAGATTCCGTGACAAAGAAGGAGGGAGAAGGCAAAGAAACAGGGTAGAGAAGAGACAGATCTTCGTCAGGTAAATGACCTGGGGCAGCAGGATGGGGGGGGGAGCAATTGTGGGGACCCCAGGGGAGAGAGAATTTATTATTTATTATTATTTATTAATTCAATTTGTATGCCGCCCCTCTCCGAAGACTCAGGGCGGCTCACAATGCATTTAAAATCATTTAAAAAAACATTTAAAAATTAAAAACATTAAAAACATTAAAACTCATTCACACCATTCATGGCCGGATCTCGCCGGATCACAAGAGCGAGATCAACAGCCCCAGGCCTGCCGGAAAAGCCAGGTCTTCACTGCTTTTCGGAAGGCCAATAGGGTGGGGATGGTCCGGACCTCAGGAGGTAACTAGTTCCAGAGAGCTGGGGCAGCCAGAGAGAAGGCCCTCCCCCGCAGGCCCGCCAGCCGACTGGACCCGGAGGAGACCAACTCTGTGGGATCTTACCAGTCATTGGGAGTTATGCGGTAGAAGGCGGTCTCAAAGATACCCTGGCCCTGAGCCATGTAGGGCTTTAAAGGTAATAACCAACACCTTGAATTGTGACCGGAGGCCAATAGGGAGCCAATGCAGCTCGCATAGAATTGGTGTAATGTGGGTGTACCTAAGTGCACCCACGACAGCTCATGTGGCTGTGTTCTGGACCAGAATGAGGTATCTGTGGGTCGGGGAGGCCTTGGGGGGTCTGAAGCAGGTGGCCTGTTCCATCACTAGGCCCCCACATGGCCTTCCCCACCCCGAGATAGCACTTAGCGAGCTGCGCATTTGATTAGCGAATGCATAGGCGAAAGGGAGTGATCACGTTGAAGGCACAAGATTCACTCCTACAAATCCTCGGGCAGGCTCCATTTCATTCGTAACTCGAGGACTACCTGTATTGCTTAGCATGACCCGGCTGCCAGAATCAGGATGGGAGCAAACACACATGCACTTTTTGAAGACCTGTCTTTGTCCTATAAAGCCTTTCCAATCTTCGTTGTACTACCAGACTGATTTTTGCTGCTACAGACTAACCTCCATCTACAAAGTCTAATGCTGCATGATTTTCTCTCTCTCTCTCTCCCTCTCTCTAGATTAACAAGAGCATCACCAAAATTGATCTATTGTTATATGCTAATGATTTGGAAGCAAGAGCAGATCAGCTGGTAAGTTGAACGAGTGATACTGTTGTAACTACTAAATGCTGAGGCTGTCTTAAAGCATGCAAAATACAGAACATTCTCTAACAGTTGTTCTGGGGCTCAGGGTTTGGAGTTACAGCTAGGGTTCAAAAACATCTTTTGATAGACCAAATATATATAAGTAGCAATGTATATATGATACTGTTTATTTTAGTATGTATGGCAAAGATAATGCCAGGACAGTTACACTGTCTCCGATGTTTTAATATGTGTTTAATAAAAAGTTTTAGATAAAAAATTAAAATAAAAAAAAAACGTCTTTTGAAAGTCATGGATAATGCTGGGCCCAAAATAACTAAGCCCAGTCTGCAGAACATAATTGTTTAGGAGAAAAGAGACAGGTTCACATTAGAAAATTCATTTTGCTTCTTTTAAAACCCTATAAGACTATCTAGAATACTTTTAGAAAGAATGTAGATTTTCATCTTGAACAGGAATATGACAATTTAGAAAAAAAAATTGTTCCTATTGTTAATCAGATGCTAGCTTGAAATCTCATATTCCACATTTATAATGAAACTCCTCAGTAGCAGGCATTTGCACTTTTTTATCTGTTGAGAAAATGGTTGGGTTTGCATCACATGAAAGCATGTATTTCTCTTGATAATAGATTATTCTAAATGAAGGCATGCAGGCAGGAAAAGAACGAATATCATTTTTCTTTTCTCATATTACTGCTTTTCTGCTCTTTAATAACAGCAGAATAACTTACATGTTGGAAATTATACATTTAATTGTTTCCTTGCATTTCCAGCCCAAAGGAGCATTAGAAAACGCTTTGAAAGGACATGCAAATACGATTCGGCTGATACATAACCAGCAAGTTGTTCCGTTGGAACAAGGAATGGTAAAAAAATTTACAGTGGCATTGGAATCTGTAATGTATCACATTGATAAACTAGATCAAGTCCAGAGAAGGGCTACCAAGATTTATTTATTGGTTTACTTATTTATTTATGTGTCAAATTTATATAGTTGCCCATCTCACAAAACAAATTACTCTGGGCAGCATACAAGAAGTTACAATTACTAAATACAAAACAATTATCATTAAAACGTTAACATCTATAAAAACAAAACTAAAACTCGGAAATTTTGGGTGAAGGAAATATTTAGTGTTAATAATAACCCTCTCAATATTTTATCAGTCCCATGGGGTCCTCAGGGTTGATTGCAGATGGTGAAAAGACCTGGGTGTGTTTAGCTTATAGATGAGAGGTTGGAGAGGGATGTGATAACTATCTTCAGATATCAAGGGCAGAGATTTATTCTCACTTGTTCAAGAAGTGAATACTAAAACAAATGGGGCAAAACTTCAAGGATGTAGATATAAAGTAGACTTTAGGAAGAATTTATTGAGAATCAGCAGAACAAGTTATTGCATGGAATGATTTCTCCTTCACTGGAAATTTTCAAGCAGAGGCTGTATAGGGATGGTATATGCATGAATTTGATGATCTCATAGGTCCCTTCCAACTCTATGATTCTGTGATTCTGTTCTAATTAGGAGTCAGCGTACATACAAATTAGGAGGCTGGGTGAATGGATGGATAGATGGATGGATTGATAATAGATTTTGAAATTAAACAGCAAATTTTCCTCAAAAATTTAAACATGGACTTAATTCTCATAAAGTGATTTCTAGAATAAACTAGTGCTTTTCAACCTGCTAGACTATTTATAGACCTTATTAAACTAGAGGATGCCTTCCTATGTGAACATAGCTATGTTCACATAGGAAGGCTATGGACTATTATGGTTCCATTTTTTCCCTAACACTTAACCAAGAAAGATATTTTTAGTTTGCTTCCACTATTAAATTAAACTTTCTTGTTATACCAGCGTAGAAGTTCTCTAATATAGAGGTTGTGAGCTGAATAGTCATGAAGATTGCTTGATTTCAGGAGTTTTGATCCCTCTTCCCCCCCCCAAAAAAAATCTCTGTGTATGCTAATTTTCTATTAATGTTGCGGTAATTTGTCTTGACTATCTTCCTCTCTGAAAAGCCTATTCTACTTTATTGTTTTTTTCATAATTTTTCCTGCTGAGTAATTTTAATCATTCTCAATCTTTTATTTCAAAAACTGGCTGTCAAGAAATATGTTAGAGCTAGGGTAAGTGTTTTTTCTTTCTTATACTGAAATTGAATAATTATCTTAAGCTTTCTTCAGACCGTTGGCTGTTCGTCTTTATTAAACATGTAATTAAGCCTGACTTCAGTTGAAGCAAAGACTAAAAAGCATCAAAGGCTTCACAATAAATTGCCTTTGCTAATGTTAGTTCAATAGCTAGAAGTATTTTTAAAAGCATCGAAGCATGTTAAAAATCATGAACATTAGCTACATAGATTTGTAAAGAAAATAATTTTGAGATACTTTTATAATCTTGTCGCTGAAACATGCAAAGACCTGTCTTAATGCTGGCCCTTTTTAATTGTATAGATAAATATCTGGTAGCCGATTAGTTAAACTGCATAATACACAAACTAGTGCAGTAAGAGACAGGAAAATACTAGAATTATGTGAAGCTATAATTGCTGAGCTGCTTCTATAACCTTCAGCCAGTGGTGGGATTCACATTTTTCCACTACCAGTTCTGTGGGCATGGCTTGGTGGGCATGGCTTGGTGGGGCGGCACCTTGCTGTGACATTGAGTTGGCCATGCCCACTCAGTCACATGACCCCACCAAGTTACGCCCACCAAGGCATGCCCACAGAACCCGGTAGGAAAGAAAATTGAATTTACAGCTATTGCAGCCTTTCTACCTATTTTCTGCCCAAAGTCTGAAGTGGCTAAACTTAGACTCTGTCAAAGGCCTCCTCCTGCATGCCGCCTGCTCTCCCTTCACCCTGCATCGCCTCGTTTCCCCTCCTTCAGATGCTTATTCAATCTCCCTGCTTCCTCCCCCTCGACTGCCTCTTTCTTTGTCCCGTGACCTTACCTTCCTCCCACGGCTGGCTGCCAGGGAAGGCAAGCCAAGGTTGAGCCATTGCTGCTGGGCTCCCTGCCAGCCTGCATTTGTTTGCCCCCCTTGTCACGAGATGTCTGCAGCTGCCACCTCTTTTTTTTCAGTGCAAGAAGCCTCCCAGCCACTGCTTTGCCAGCTGGAACCAAGCCAGCAGCGATGGCTGGCTGCAGGCTTCTTGTGCCAAAAACTACCGGCCTTTCCTTCTCGAACGCGCCAAAAAAGAGCTTCAGTCCCATGACTGTTGCTGCCGTCGCCACCCTGTTCTTTGCACCAGCTGCGCACTCACAACCCATTGCCTGCTGCACTGGAGGGGTAATCAAAGTGGTGGCTGGGAGGCTTCCTGCACCAAAAAAAAGAGGTGACAGCTGCAGACATCTCGCCACAAGGGGGGCAAACAAATGTGGACTGGCGGGGAGCCCAGCGGCGACGGATCAGCCCTGGCTTGCCTTCCCTGGCAGCCAGCCGCAGGAGGAAGGTAAGGTCACGGGATGAAGAAAGAAGTGGCTTTGGGGGAGGAAACGGGGAGATTGAGTATGGGCCAGGGCCTCTGAAGGAGGGGAAACAGGGCGATGTGTGGTGAAAGGAGAGAATGGGCAGCATGCAGGAGGAGGCCCCAGGAAGGCCAGAGCCAGGGAATGGCGCGTTCCCTCACTCGGGCGAGGCAGGCAGCGAGCAGGCGGAGGCTCCGGGCCCTCGGGGAATGGCATGTCGCTGGCCCCCGAACCAAGGTGAAGGGCGAGCGGGCAGCATGCTTACTTTTGGTGAGCTGAGCAGAGCGGGCATGGTGCGGAGGTGGTGTGAGGGCTGCGTAGCGAAGGCAACATATATAGGGTGGGGGTGGGCAGGGCGAGCATTAAGCAAGCGGGCGGGACGAGTGTTGAGCAGGCGAGGGGGCAGGTGGGGGCGGGGCCAGACAGAGGTGGTATTTACCAATTCAGCAAACCAGTTAAAATTGCTGCTACAAGTTCGCCTGAATCGGTCCGTACCGGCTGAATACCACCTCTACCTTCAGCCCATGTTAAGGTTTCTGCTTTTCTTCTTGAATTGTAAAATTTAAGCATATGCACAGCATCCCATCTCAGTCTTTATTCTCCACTGCTGTTAAGAAAAAAAATAAGCAGAAAAAAATACCCACTATCTGCCTCTGAATAATGGGGCAAATGGATGAATGTTTGCAAACCCTGAGTGTCTTGAATATAGGAGAAGAATTCTAGGAAGCAGACCAAGATGGAAATTTGCTGCAAACAAGTGCAATTTTAAGACCATCCCCCCAAATAGGCATAATAAATGTATGCATTAATTATATTTTGAGTATACTAAACCAAACTAGTTGTAGTACTATTGCTGCATATCTTTATTTTCACAATTATAACAACTCCACACACACACACTTTTATTGTATAGTAAGCATTAAAACCAATGACATAAGAAGTGTATAGCTCAAGCTATTAGAGTTAAAATCTTTCTTTTTTTTTTATTTTAAACCAGAGTACTTTAAACCAGAGTATTCGGTTACTACAGAAAACTTCATTAGAACTTTCAGTAAGTTTTTCTTTCTTATTTTCTAGAATAAATGAACATTTATTTCTCAGTGTTTTGCTTATAATAGGCCAAGTGTATTACCTTTATTAAAAACTAGCTATTGTTGGGTTTTTTTGGAAAAGTTTTAATTAAGTATTAAAGAATAAGCAGAACATTTTAGCGAACATTATCTCTATTTAATAGGAAATTAAGTAAAAGATAAGTGAACTCTCTAGTTTGCTTTTTAAATATCCTGCTATGGATTTTAATCCTTTTTCTTTAAATAACTATGGAGATCTGGATTTTTTAAAAAAAACAAAAACCCAGTGTCTGAGTAGGCACTGTTTCAAGATCTTAATTCATCATAATTGGAGGATGGGCTTCACTTAAAGTCTTTTCTCTGGCTTTTCCAGGAAAAGGTGAGAAGTGTAATCAGTGCCATTGAATTCACTCAACTTCTTATAAACAACAATGCTTCAGTTATAATTGTCCAGGTAAATATTTTTGTCATAGGAACCCTTAAAACAAATCCTTACACTGAACATAGCTTTGGATTCTATATGCCTCTTAACAATGGTTTCTTTCTTTCAAGGAAGCTAAGAAATACATGGATACTATCTTAGGTTACTTTGAGCAGTATTCAATGTGGGTAAAGGATTCGGTAAGACCTTTTGGTTTATTGGCTTCTTTTCTCATCAGTTATGAAAATTTAGATCAAATACGGCAGAGGCTGCCAAGAACCAAAATTGAATACATTTGAAATCATTTCTGTCTTAAGATGGGTGTGGAGAAGCATGTTCATGGACACATTAAAACATCAAATCTGTATCTCATCTCTTGCAGATTACTACACAAGTAGCAACCTGTAAACCAATTGCAAATACGATTGATACAGCTGTCGATATTTTTCTGTGCAGCTATGTAATGGATTCTTTGGTAAGCTGGAAGTAGGGGAGGATGTGGGTGTTGGAGCAAACTTTGTTTAAGCCACCTTTCTGCCAGAAACTATCTGCTCTTTAGAGTGGAGAAGCCAATAAGATTGAAAATGCTTTTCTATTATTGTTTCTCCTGTGGATTTATGTCACTTTCTGTTGGATTCCTCATAAAACAAATTTCTTTGGAAATGGACTCCGATAACCAGCCATATTCAAAAATATCTTTATCACGATAAAGGAAGGATATAAAGGAAATATTTTTATCAAGATAAGGGAAGAATGTATAAATAAGAAAAAAAGTGCCTGCACAAATGTGTGTGCATTTTAGCTATCTGAAAATATTAAGTCAAAAAAAAAATTTTTTTTACTGCCATTTAAATATGAAACCAAAGCAGTTTGCTGTCTTTTGAGTTTGATTCATGTAAAATTAGCTGTCCAGCTATTTGTAAATCTGAGTCTTTGTTTTGTTTTAGAATTCTTCCTAAATCAGAGCTTCACAGCAGAATGATTTTATGCAGGGATGAAATGCTCCCAGTTCGGACCGGGTCACCCGATCCAGTAGCGATGGCAGCGGGTGGTTCGGAGAACCGGTAGCAAAAATCCCTGCGGCCCCCCTTCACCTTTTTTTTTTTTTTTACTTTTAAAAGCATTTTTTCTACAACCTCTTCCGATGAAAAAATGCTTTTAAAAGTAAAAAAAAAAAAAAGCCTTTGATAATTGTGTGGCTCAGCTGGGATCATCAGAGGCTTTTCAAAGCATTTTTTCTGCAACCTCTTGGCCGAAGAGGTGGTAAACAAAATGCTTTGAAAAGTCTCTGACGATCCCAGCTGAGTTCCTGATCGGCAGAGAGGCTTTTCTAAGCATTAGAAAAAATGCTTTGAAAAGTTTTTTTTAAAAAAAGTTGGCCACGCCCACCCAGTCACATCCCCCCCCACCAAGCCACACCCACAGAACCGGTAGTAACAGATTTTACATTTCACCCCTGATTTTATGATCTCATAAAACTGAAAAGTATTGTGTAAAAATGGCAGTTTCTGGGAATTGCACATGATTCTTGGAAGCTGATGGCGTGTTTGAGGCCGGGCCCCTTTTTGCATGGTTTTGTCCCTGACATCTTCTGCTTATGGTTTTACAATCAGATCGCGGGTTTGGACTACTCCCTTCACAGAGAGGTCTCTAGTAGGGCTCTGCAGGGGTTCAGATTCCACAGGGAAAAGCTTTATCCTGACTCACCTGGAGGAGCAAAAGAAGAGGGAAGTTGAATTCAAGGCTAAAGTAAACTTTCCATGGAAGAAAACACTGAATGGCCTATGATCTCATGAGCAGTAAATGCCTTTGCTAAGTTGGAGGTCTTAGCAACTATACTTGAACAACTGCATCCCTTGAAACACACATTTTCATCCTTCTTAAAACTGAGGTTTTGTTTGTTTATTGCTAGGATACTCAAGTGACTCTAGTTTGGTGTTTTTACCTAAGTGAGAAAAGATGAATAGCTTTGCAATGAAGCTTACAGAAGGAATGAGGAAGAAGCATTCCAAGCAGCTTGGATCAGATATGCATCCAATTGTTCTTTTTTCTTTCTGTTAGAATGCCTTTTGGTTTGGACTAGGAGGCTGCTGCATCTTGCTGATCCCTGCCATTATTTGTGCGGTGAAATTAGCCAAATTCTACCGCAGGATGGATACCGAGGACGTGTATGATGAGTAAGTAAAAATAGAATGAGTCAGAGTAGCAGTTGGCAGGATGGTGCGGCTATGGAAATTGAATGGATATATAAATTATCAGAAGAAGTCAAAATATTTTTAGCTCACAGTGAGCCTTTGTGTGATGATGTAAAAACTCATTGGGATGTTTTTGCTTGGAATTATTTAAACTTTCCTCCAAAATTGGATGAAAGAATGGGATAGGCCGAGCTATTATATTTGGATGCATGTAAGAAGGCTCCTAAGAGCTGCAGGATGTACAGGCTTTAAAACATGCCTGATGTTTTGGGGTTTAAGGGGAAAAAAACCCATGTGCATCACTACATCTCTGTAGTGATGAAGAATGTTTTGACTGAAGCAGAGAGTTTTTCTCAAAGCAAAAACTGAACTCAATTGGTGAATTATGAACTGTGGGTGGCCTAGAGAGGAAAAAGGGAGTTGTGGGTTTTCACAGGAAAAATCCCAGAATTGACTTTGCTTCTTACATTGATTTTTCAATAAAGCTACACTCTAGGTTAATCTAAAGTGCCGGGAGTTTCTTTTGTTGAATGTGCCAAATGGGATGGTTGACAGCTACCTTTTGGATGACAAAGTTGTCAGCCAGGTTTATAAGGAACATGTTCCATCTCCCACTTGATGCAGAGTTTGTTTCCCAGTTGATGTCAGGGTAGTTAAAATCCCCCATTACTACTGTGCTGCATTTCCTTCATCCATTAGTTAACTAATTAGCAAAAAGTTAATCTATTTCTTTTGCTTGGTTGGGTTGCCTGTGGTATATACCTATGCCAATGTCATTCTTTTTTCCTTTTATTTTAACCCCTTATGCATTCAAGATAAGGGGTTAAAATAAAAGGAAAAAAGAATGACATTGGCATAGGTGTATACCACAGGCAACCCAACCAAGCAAAAGAAATAGATTAACTTTTTGCTAATTAGTTAACTAATGGATGAAGGAAATGCAGCACAGTAGTAATGGGGGATTTTAACTACCCTGACATCAACTGGGAAACAAACTCTGCATCAAGTGGGAGATGGAACATGTTCCTTATAAGCCTGGCTGACAACTTTGTCATCCAAAAGGTAGCTGTCAACCATCCCATTTGGCACATTCAACAAAAGAAACTCCCGGCACTTTAGATTAACCTAGAGTGTAGCTTTATTGAAAAATCAATGTAAGAAGCAAAGTCAATTCTGGGATTTTTCCTGTGAAAACCCACAACTCCCTTTTTCCTCTCTAGGCCACCCACAGTTCATAATTCACCAACTGAGTTCAGTTTTTGCTTTGAGAAAAATTCTCTGCTTCAGTCAAAACATTCTTCATCACTTGGCCTTGTAGATAATGTCTCCCCAGCAACAGACGGTTCACTTACATCCACAGCCTCCCTCTACCCTTAGGAATCACACACACACACACCCCATCACTGTTTGGCAAAGCTGAGAGAAAAAGCAAGTACAGGCAACTATAGAGTCCAGTCAGGTTTGATATGCCAATCCTCCAGAAGAATGACTGCCCTGGAAAATAAAACATAACACTGCACACAACATTAGACATTACTGTCCACTTCCAAGACCACCCTCACCTGGGCTGGCCTGGATGCTCAGCATGTAATCTGTGCACTAATCTAGTTGCCTTCACATCTGTTGCTGCCACCCATTCTGCATCAGCTAGATAGTAAATAGTGCAGTTTCCCTCTATGATCCCAGGAGTTAAGAATCTCCTTAATTTCATAGTGTTCCTCTCCTTTGAACAGAATAGGAGAAGGAGGAGGTGCTTCCACAGCGGGTCTTAATCCCGAACTGCATAAAGTTTTCAGCAGGCTGCAGTGAAATACAGGATGGACTTGCCTTAGATTTTTTGGCAGCTGCAATTTTACAGTAACTGGATTTACAATCTGGATAATTGGGAAAGGCCCTACATACTTTGGACCTGGCTTTTACAAGGCTTCCTCAGGTTGAGAAATTTTATAGGCAGGTACACTTTATCTCCCATCTTGAATTCCCCCTTTGGTGTCCTTTTTTGTTTTCTTGCTTCTTTTGTGTTTCCTTAGCTTTCTGTAAATGCTCTGCATACTGTCACTCCACATTTCCTTTAAAGTTTCCATCCACTAAGCCAATGACACCGAGAACGGTCATCCTGAAGGATCTCTGGCATCTGCACAAACTCCACCCTACTAGCAATCCTGAAAGGGGTAAATCCTGTGCTATTATGCACGGAGTTATTATATGCCACTTCTGCAAAAGGCAGGAGTTCGGCCCAATTGGTCTGTTGGTAATTGACATAACATCTCATATACTGCTCTAACACTGAATTGGTCCATTCACAGGCTCTATTGGTACAGGGATGGTAGGCAGAGCTAAGGCCCTGTGAGGAGCCAATTAGCTTAAAGAATTCCTGCCAAAATTTTGCAGTGAACAGCACCCCACAATCTGAGTTGCTAGTTTCTTCTCTATAAATGCTCAGAGTTTGTCCATCTCTCTGTGGGTCATAGAGTACATTTTTGGCTTAGGCAGTTTGGCCCCTGCCATAATCTCTATTGCATAGTCAGTGTAAGGATCGCCTCTCCTTCCAATTTAAGAAAGTACGAACTCTTGAAACGTAGTTGTTCAAAAGGATTCTTTTATTAAGCAGAAGTGAAAACCATCCAGCTAAAGCACAATCTGAATGCCCTTAGGCAAAGCAGTAGGATTAAAGTGGTAGAGACCCCTCCCTTTAGGTCAGAATGCAGATTTCAGCCAATACACAAGTGTGAAGATGTTTTCTTTACTATTTCCTTTGAGAACCTGAACAAACATGCATTCCCACCACTTCCCTTTAAAGTGAGACAACCCACATGGCTATCATATAAATTCCTGCAGGTAAAGGGAATCTCAGGCTTCCTTGGCGCCAGGATATAGGTTGTAAAATATCTGATGACACAGGCCATGCTAGTAAATCGAATCCACGTCCCCCCTTCCTTCACTTGAATGGCAGTATCACTTTTAGGGATCTGACATGCTACCCTCCTTAGAAAACAAAAGGGTCCACCTGTAAAAAAAAAACAAATACACACAAGATTTCAAGATTTCATGATAGTATATCAACAAGGTTTGTTAGGGTATTGGGAGTGAAATTTTCTCAGTAAGATTGGAGCCCTAACGTGGTGTTTGGCGACCCATTCATTGTGTGCTGATGGTAAATGTTTCCAAGCAACTAAGTATTGGACTTTCCCTCTGTGGATCCTAGAATCAAGGATTTCCTTGATTTCAAAGTGTTGTTCACCTTCAATCATGATGGGAACAGGTGGTGTAGATGCAGGTGGTCTGAGGGATGAGATTACTTCTCGTTTGAGTAAACTGATATGGAATACTGGGTGGATCTGCCTGAGTGTCTTTGGAAGAAGTAGTTCAACTGCTACTGGATTGATGATTCTAGTGATGGGGAAAGGTCCAATGAACTTTGGCCCTAGTTTCTTTGATGGTTGTAATGATTTCAAGAATTTTGTAGATAAGTATACTCTGTCTCCAATATGAAAAGGTTTGGGTTCCATCCTTTTCTTGTCAGCTTGAATCTTAAAAGCTTCTCTAGCTTCCTGTAAGGCTAATCTAACCACTGGCCACGTGTTTTGCAAATTATCCATCCACTCCTTAAGTGAGGGGATGGTGGGTTCTTCTGTGGGTAGTTCAGGCATGGGGCTGAAATCCTGGCCTGTTGCTACTCTAAAAGGGGTAAAACCAGTGCTTGAATGGACAGCATTATTAAACGCAACTTCAGCAAAAGGCAAAAGTTCGGTCCAGTTATCCTGTTGAAAATTAATGAAACATCTTAAATATTGTTCTAGTACCGAGTTCAAAATTTCAGAAATGCCATTAGTACACGGATGAAAAGATGTGCTCAACCCCTGGCCAGTACCAAGTAAGCCCAAAAACGCCTTCCAAAAGTTGGAGGTGAATTGAGCCCCTCTGTCGGAGATGATCCTTTGTGGAGCACCATGAAGTCGATAAATGTGTATTAGGAATAATTTGGCTAAACTTTTAGCAGTTGGGATCTTTTGGCAGGGTATAAAATGTGCCTGTTTTGAAAATAGGTCTGTCACAACCCAAATAACAGTATTTCCCTCACTGTTTGGCAATTCCACAATGAAATCCATAGCGATCTCTCTCCAAGGCGCTGCAGGTTCAGCTACCTTCTGCAATAGGCCTGGGGATTTCCCCTGGCGTCTTTTTGCTGCTGCACAAATGGGGCAGCTAGCTACATAGCTTTCTATGTCCTTTTTTAGTGATGGCCACCAAAATTGTCTTTTAATCAGGTGTAAAGTTTTCACAAACCCAAAATGTCCAGCTAATTTGGAGTCATGGCACCGTACCATTAAGCATAGTCTTTGGCTTGCAGGGACATACAACTTCCCCCCCCCCCACCCAAGCCAAGTCTTCTTTCATCAGACAGCTGGATTTGTTGTTCAAAAACCATTCATCAGTGGCCAATGCTTGTTTAAAATTTTGGGTGATGTCATTGTCTGTCACTGTTTCTTGTTTTTCCTGGGATCTGGTGACTACTTTAGCGGCTAGTTGACTGTTTTGTACTATAGGTTTGATTACATCTGACCTTGCACGAATGTATTGCGGTTTTCTGGATAGCGCATCCGCCAGGAAGTTTTTCCCCCCCGGGAGGTATTTTAGAGTAAAATCAAACCGTTTAAAGTACTGAGCCCATCGTACTTGTTTTGGGGAGAGTTTCCTTGGGGTCTTTAGGGCTTCTAGATTTTTATGATCAGTCCAGACTTCAAAAGGGGTCTTACTGCCTTCTAGGAAGTGCCGCCAGGTTAACAATGCCCAACGAACTGCATACGCCTCTTTCTCCCAAATAGCCCACCTTTGCTCAGTCTCATTCAACTTTTTGGATGTGTAAGCGCAGGGCTGTAGTTGGTCTTGCTCATTCTTCTGAAGCAGGACCGCTCCTATTGCCACATCGCTGGCATCTGCTTGTATGACAAATGGTTTCTCCATGTCCGGGTGTTGTAGAA